GTTGTACCTAGCAAGGAATGCAGATCTCTTTGTAACTCTTGTCAATTGCGACATCAAACTGTAGAACATTCTAAGCAGGTCAAGTGTAGATGTAAGTTTGTTTGGTGCTGTACTGTTAAATGCCACTTATGCAACGTAAAGTATTCGCTAACTACTTGTACCAAATAATTGGTTGCAGGTTTTCTTTTAAAGTAATGTTGTGAGGTGAAGCAAAACATTCGTTACTCTCATTGTATAGATTGTTTGATAAGTTAGGTTAGGATACAATTATTTTCCAAATAGTTAGTCTTAAAGGTTAAGGTTTCGTTCTACTTAACAAGTTACTTCGCTGTTGCTTGTATATAAAGTTTAATTAGTTAAGAGTATTTTTCAAGACAGTATCGCGCAGTAGGTTGAACATGTTACATTCAGGAGTTAATTATATGTAATAAAAAATGTTTTGATCGTGTAAAAGCGTCCATCTTTTATTTTGAGTAAAATGTAGACAGTATTCTGTCGGGCTCAATGAACGTAAGCGCTTGTACTATTGGCGCGCTTTTGCTGTAGTATGAAATTTAGTGCAACTTAAAATGAAGACTTTCAAATGCGTCTTATCGAGGGAGGGAGAGGAACTACAAATTAATTATCAAACAAAGGATGGAATAAGAATCACCCATAACTCAAACATTCCGTTTAGAGTGGTTTTCAGTTGAGTGTCGTAAAACCAAACCAATTACTTACCAATTAGCCTGCTCATCCAATCTCAAACCATAGTAAAACCAAAACCAAAGTAATTGCCTGATTACTTTCGGCATTCAATTGAAATCCACTCTAGAACTCGATGAGGATCAGTAGAACTCATCAAATGTTGAATGTTTATAGTGGTCATGCAAGGCACTTAGCTACAACAAGCTAGTTTTCAGTTTACGTTTGTTATATTTGAGTTGATTTTCCAATTTTGAAGTTAAAATAACTGCTCTACACCTCACCATAAGGGAAAAAAGCAGCTTTGATCACGTTTCAATCCTTTGTGAAAGAGTACAGGTAAATCAATGGTGTTGATCTATCACGGTCTCACAAAAAAGTCTTACCTCTAAGATGGGAATGAATTGACCAAAAAATCCACGTGTATCAGCGTGTTCTTTTTTCCATTGTTAAACTTATCTTCATCTGATTCATCCCATTTGTTGATGCCCGAAGAAATCCCATCTTGCTTTCGGCCGAGATTTTCTTTGCTCTTAAAACAGTTCTGTAACTTTTACCACATGGTTTGAAACGTAATGTACTAGCGTTTATGTTTCGTTTAAAATGTTTTCCTATATCTTATATTTTTTACCACAAGATCAAAAAAGAGACCTGCAATTGAGAGTCTAGAGTGCAACTTCCCATAATGGCACCCTGAAACTCAAAAATCTACCACCAACATGTTGACATTGCAGCTCTGCAAGAAACACGTTTAGCAGACTACGGCAGTCTCAGAGAGAAGGAGTACACATTCTTCTTCATACATACCACATGGTTTTATATTTTGCCTGGTGTTTGAAAAAGTTGCGTTCTAATGAACGCAGAGTTGAAAATGTAGCCTTATTGAACGTGAAATTTATCGAAGAATAAATGACCGTGTGACGAATAATCTTAACTCTTTTTGTTTTAATTATTTCCATTGAAATTCCTGGCTAGTAAAACTCCCTGAAGAACTCTGAGAAAACTCTGATGAACGCTTATAAGAGCTTCGTTGTTTGCGAGTTGAGATTTAGTAAAATCTTCTCTGTGTTACGTTCTTTATATACTTGTTGGTTTACAAATTACATTAAATGTAAACAAATTCTTTAATTAAACACGCGAACAAAAGACATCGGAGTTCTTTAGGATAGTTGCCCACGCGGCGAGGTGTGATTTTTCAGCATATATCAGAGGTGAGACTTTTTTGTGTAACAAAGCCATAATCATTAATTGCCTTCATTCTTTTCACAAGAGATCAAAACATGTTTAAAGCGGGTTTTTAAAAGTGAGCTAAAATCAAACAAGTTACGGAGATGATGCATGCCTTTTACTATTTGACAGTGTGGGTGATTAAAATAAAAAAGGGTTAGAATAATTCGTTATAATGGCATTTCTTTTTCGATTAATCTTGGAGTTGTGAATTTAGATATACTTTGATATTGTTTTTGTTAATTGATTGCCTCACCTTCTGCAGGCAATCCGCGCTAAAACTAAACCCGCGCCAGAATAGTTGTCTTTCCGGTTAGTCTATTTTCAATAAAAAGCAGTTATTTTAAACTTCAGTTGCGAAGTCCATCAACGTGCGAACTAAAAGCTAGCAAGGCGCAGTTGTTAGAGTTTCTCGTCGCTGACGTTTAGCTCAACAGTTATCCTGGGTTTTCTTTGAGAAATGACTGAAGCTACGAAAGTTATAATTATTTTTGAGAAAAGAATTTTTTGTGATAGATTCTCGATATTCCCAGCGAGGATCCCCCTGTTTTTCACTTGGGAGTCCCCCCCCGCTCTGCGTGTAACAAAAAACACTCCACTAATGCGCAAGTTTAAGCTGGGAATAGCAGTTTTCCTGACTTTTAATGGTTAGTTAATTAAAATGTGAAAGTGGTCCTTATACCAAACAACTATAGCATCCTGTGGGCATTCACACCGTTCATTATAGCTTCAGTGCCCTAACAGCAATCTTTATCGAAAGTGGTTTCCATCGATGAAAGCACATCTTTTGTGTTGCATGACGGTGGCCCTAAACTGATATTTAACTCATACTTAATCGAAGAACGTCCTCACCAGAATCATACCATATCATTGAATTTAACCAAACTCAGAATCATAGAAGGGGGAGAATGCTTGCAACATTTCCGAGAAACTATATATTCTTTTGTGACAGGATGGAGACTGAAAAACAATTATAATAAAGCACCATAGTCCTTACCGAATCAAACTGGAAACAAGCAGAACAAGTTTGTTTTACTGATAAATTCTTCCTGACTCATTTCTCTACAGTTTAAAAATTTAACAATTTCACAGCAAACTTGTTTTTCAAGTGAAATTACGTTCCAGAGTCTTGACCTCTAAAGGCAAATATTGTGCACCGAAACGTCGTGGAAACGCTAAGAACGTGAATTCGAGCACGGAATTTTGCGTGACGAGTTTCTGCTGTCACGCGTTTGCTCTGCTGAGCAGAGCTGTCTGAACTGGCTCGCATACTAGTTGGCAGGTAGGTTATGAAAATCTTGAGACAGTGGCATTAAAAATCGTCTCGAAGAAGTTATTGGTGAGTGAACAAGTTTGATCTATTGTCGGGGTTGAAATATTACACGAAAGGAAAAAAAAAAGAGAAATTCATTTGTGTTTGATACCGACTGTCGTTGAAAGCCAGGAGTTACTTATGATTTTTCTTCGCTTC